CGGCGCCGACAGAAGGCGCCGCCGAGCCCGAGAAGCAGCGCGCCGCAGGCCGCGCCGCCGCCAGCCAGGAAGGCCGGCTCCCGCAGCACCCTGACCAGCCGTTCCGCCAGCCCCGGGCCCACCTCGAGCGCGGGCTCCAGTTCCGGCGGGGACGCTGTGGGGTTCAGAGAGGTGAGCGGAGTAGGGGCCTGGAAACCCGGGAGCCATTCCGGGACCCCCGTAACTTGCCAGCCCCTCCCTCCCACATCCGCACTCACGCAGCTGCACTGACACCGGGGCACTAGCAACGCCCACGCCAGCGCTGGTGGCCGCCGCGACCTGGGTCCGGTAAGGGAGACCCGGCAGCAGTCCCTGGAGCACCGCGGAGCGCGCCCAACCTGCCGCAGACCGATTGAGGTGGAAGCGGCTCTCATTGCCCAGGCACCAGATCTGGCGAGGCCAAGACCATGTTTTTAGAGTCAGAAATGGGATTCTGGCCTCACATGGAACTCGACGCTCTGAACGGCAGAGGGGGCTTAGCCCGGGTTCGTTCAGCCTGGAGAGAACACTCCGAAACCTCTCTCCTTTCCCCAAACCTCAACCCCAGCCACAAAGCCTCCCTAATCCTAGCCCTAGGTCCTCCTCTTCCTCCCACGCAGCCCCTTCTCACACCCTGTACCTGGTATTCTTTGATGACCCCGTTTTGCTGGGAGAGGAGCGGAGGTTCCCAGGACACAGTGATACTGCTGTTGCCTTCACCCCCCAAGGCCACTGCCACTCCCTGAGGGGGGCCACTGGGGGCTAGCCAGGGTGGGGCATGGTGAGAAGGACACAGACAGTCACTGCAAGCTGCCCCTCGTGCCCCAACCTCCCCGCTCCCAGCTCTAACATCTCAGGGAACTGAGAGCAGCCCCCTTCCAACCGGCTCACCTTGCTCTCCCCTCTGCAAACTTTCATCCACCCCTGCTCCCACTTCCGCTCCCACTTCCGTCTTGTCTACCCAGCAGCTCTGTGTCCTGCTCCCTTACCCTCCTCAGGAATGCTTGTGGTCACCAAGGGGCTCTCAGCCCCTAGCCCCTCTTGGCCTTGGGCTTGCACCTTGATCTGAATTCGGGTCGCTGGGGGGAGTCCTCTTAGCACGGTACTTTGCTGGCTTGGGGACTGTAGGTCCAGCACTGTCCAGCTTTCCCCATCAGGACCTGCTACTCTCCAAGACACCCGGAAACCTTGCACAAGCTCGACTGGGCCGTCTACCTGTAGGAGACAGGAGGAAGCATACCAGGGGAAAAGGCTAGGACCACACAAGTCCTCCAGACCCAGCTCATCCTCCGCTCACCCATCTTCCCCAGCCACTCACCTCCCACTCTCTGGTACCCATTCTTGGAGGCCCCTATGTCCCCCATCATCGTCTCTGCTCTTCACCTTATCCCCATGCCCACACTCACAGTCCAGGACAACTGCAGAGTCCGGGGCCCAAGGACTACAGGCTCCTGCATACGCACAACCACTTCGGCTAGTCCCCGCTGGCCTCTCCATGGGTCCTCCACAGGCCTGGATGGGTTGCTGTCTGTTGACCAAAAAGCCCACTCAGCAGGGGCCAGCAGGGAAAGGGAGTCAGTTCGCTGTGTCCCGCCTCTGCCCTGCCCCACAGACTGTACGGTTTAGTGCTCCAGAGCACACCTCAGAGTCAGGAGGGGCTGGTCAGAGGGATAACTTCCTGAAATGGGCCCGGGCGTCCAGCTAACACAGGTGTTCTTTCTGCATAATTGCATACACACCCTTTAAAGGTCTCTTGCCTCATCTATAATGTGAAGATGATGCCTCCAAGGTCCCTTCTAGTCCTGATAATCTACCTATGCTGTGAGTAAGGGACTCAGAAGTGAAGAGCCACCAAGGTAACCAAATTAGTGCTCCTCTCTCTCCCCTTCACTCTTGCTTTCCCTCCCCGCTTCTCTCATTCCCTCGATGAGAGGGAAGCAGGACCTATTCCAGACCAGCCACCAATATAGACCTGGCACAGCAGGAAAGAGATGCCATGGTTTGGGGGGAGGGGTGCTCTGCAATGTTACATGTCATATCCATGAGCCAGGGACCCTGACCTTACTCACCCTGGGTACGAACAGGCTCAGAGACAGGGCTCGGCTCACTGAGGCCCCAGGCTCCGACAGCTCGCACCAGGAATAGGTAGATGGTATTGGGCTGCAAACCGCTGACGGTATGTGTCTCCAGCTGTACACCATCTGCCACTGTCCGCCATGTGTTGCCGGCGGCTTGGCTGCAGTGGGAATGAGGTAACAAGAGTTGTCTGAGTCATCTCACCCATTCTCTATGGCTCCCTACTGCCGTCTCATCCTGGGAGAGGGAACTAGCAAACTTCTCCCCACAATAGCAAAGACACTAAGACATAGGGGTCCCCTCCTTTTTAACTTTCCAGGTTTGCATTTAAAACTTACCTGAAGGCCTCTATCACATAAGAGGTGACTGCGGCCCCAGCCTGTGGGTTGGCTTTCCAGGTCAGGGTAATGCTATTCTTGGTGATCTCAGTGACCACTGGCTGAGAGGGAGGCCCCAAAGGGGTACTGGGTTCCATAGGGGGGTCTGGTAATTCTCCCCAATCTTCTGCAGTGAGGAGATAATCTTTCAGTAGAAGCATGGGGAAAGGATGTAACCTGCCTCCTTACCAGAGGAGCTGTGGAGCTGTGACAGGATTATGGTAGAGAGGGAGACACAGTGCACTAACCCTTACTCACTTACTCACATCCTCCTCCCAAGGGCACCACCACGGCCATGGCATTGGGAAGATAAAGTCAGTCCTGGGGATTGGCAAGGTATTGACCGCCTTTAAAGAAGGTTAGGAGAAAGGTACTGGCAAAGCAGGGAACAAAAGAAAAACTCACCCTGCCTCCGAAGCCAGCCCGTCCATGTGGCCTCCCCTGTGGAACTCTTGGCCACACAGCTGTAGAAGCCCATGTCCATCTCCTGTAGGAGAGGGTAGAGGACTGGCAAACCGGAAGTGGAGGAAGGTAGGGTGAGGGGGTGGAAGTGGGTATTGAGAATGTTGTACACTGTAGCTACCCCTCCGAGAGAGCAGAGACATAGAATGGAGTTCAAGTCCCAGTGGGTACTTCCTAGAGTTGAACATATGGCCATTCTCAGTTACTTGGGCCCCAAGGTGAGACTCACCTGAATGTTGGTGATGTACAGAGTACCGTTGGCCATGAGGTTGAGCTGGAGGTCATCCCCCTGCAGCCACTGCCCATCCTTCTTCCATTGGACACTAGGTTGAGGGTTCCCAGTCACTCTGCATGGCAGCCACACAGAGGAGCCAAGTGCCACTGTCTGATTTGCTGGTCCCTGGAGGATGATGGGAGGCATCCCATCCATGGAAGCTGAGAGAGGAAGAACTTGGGCATCTCAGGGGAGGATCCTAGGTTCAGGAAACCAGCCCCTTGTCTTCATTTTCTGCTACTTCACATATCCCCTTCCCTCAGAGATTTCAGGGGCTTCCATAACCAACTGTAGTCTCTGCCTAGAACCAGCCATCTATTAGTGGCTTCTGTGGCTGATTTCCAAACTTCAATGACATGTCTCAGGAACACACCCCTCCCCTTGCATATTGTATAGAATCAAAAACAGATCTCTTAAAGCCATTATTTGCTTCCAGGCTATGGGTCCAGGCCTATCTCCATGGGTACATACCTCCCTTTACCTCCAACAGGGCCTTGGCCAGGATGCTGCCAGCCACACTAACAGCCTGACACACGTAGTAGCCAGCATCTCCACTCTGCACTTCAGTGATGTTGAGCTGGCCTTTGGGAGAGACTGAGAAGCGCCCCGTGGGCTGAACAGATTGACTGGGGAAAAGTAGAACCTGGAGACAGAGCAAGAACTAAGGTAGGGAATGAGCAGGCAGCTGACAGAGAGAGCTCCCCATTGCCATCAATGCCAGAATCCAGAGCATTCCTAAGGTTCTAGTTTATACACCATCTCAGCCTGTTATGCGACCTTGGGCAAATTAGTTAAACCAATTTACAAAAATGAACAATTTTATTAGATGATTTTGGGGCATACTTCCCAGCTCTGTGCAAGCTATTTAAACTTCCTGAGCCCCAATTTCATCCAGAATTGATTTTTAGAGGATAGATATGAAGATTAAATGAAGTAATCATATGAAACGTTTTCAATACATTGTGTGGTAGATGTTAAATACTTTCCTCTTCTTTCTGGCTCTAACATTTTACATTAGATGCATATATGGAAGGTAGCAAAGCAGGTTTAAGTCTCAGGCTAAATGGCACCATGCTGAGCCCCTAACTGAAACCTACTTCCACTCTCTACTACCATCAGCCATTTTAGTCATTTCAGAATCTAATGAAAATGCTGCTGTCTCCAGTGCTAGAAAAGATGTTGAGAAAATTGTGGCTGTGGATTTGGAATGAGGTAATGGGTGGCCTGGTTTCTCAGTGGGGCGAGGTTAATCAGACTTATTTTATTGTACTGTTTCTGTTTCCTAGTAACAAAATTGCTACCCTTCCCTTAGAGAGAGTACTTATGTTGTGACCAGTTAATGTTCACTCCAGTTCTATATTCCGGGACTTGTTTGCTAAGGTTGAAGAGGAGTGGCTGTGAGCGCCCCCTGGTGGAAGCCTCCTGTAAATAGAAGAGCAAGTTGTGTTCTACGGGCTTTGGTACAGTGCTACTTGCTTTCTACACTGTATGTTAAATAAAGCCCAGACCCCAGGGTACTGGGGAAGGAGGGATCTAATTAGATTTTCTACATCCTCAGGACAGTCTTGCCCCAAAGAGAAAGATTCTCCAAGGAATTACTATACAGGACTTTTCCCTACCACCTTAACATTATCATTTATTTTTAAAGTGTTCAATATGTTCCAGGCCTTTTATATTCATTATCTTATTTAATCCTCCCAAATAACCTGCAAGGATTTCTAGGAAGACCAAAGGTAAAGCACAACCCGAGAGCAGTTTTCAGACCTAGGAGGAGGGAGGCTAAGATCCAGCGGACAAGCTGGCCGGAAGGCCCTGGGAGCTGGCACCTACTTGACTTCCTTCCTTCTGCCAGAAGATGGCAGGTGGGGGGTTTCCTTTGGTCTCGCATTGGAAAGTCACATTCTCTCCAGGAGCAGCCATCTGGTCCTGGGGCTGAGTCACCAGCTGGGGTGGGACTGGGAAGGGGAGGGGGAAGATAAAGGAACAAGGAGTCAGGGGTACTAAGAAGGAAGTTTGAGGAGACAGAAGAGAGACTCCCAAGCTTGGCTTAAGCAGTAACAAATATCCATCCGTCTCTTGCTCAAGCCTGTTTAGCTTTCTCCTCTCTCTCCTACAAGTCTCAGGTGACTCCATATCTCCCACTCCTTCTTTCTCCCTCACTCTCCTCTTCGACCCACCCTCCATCTCCCCTCATCTCACCCCTACTGCAGGCAGTCCCAGGTGGGGCCTCACCGTGAACACTGAGGGAGCCAGATGCTTCCACTCGGCCCACACTGTTCTCCGCCACACAGGTGTACGTCCCCTCATCTTCAGCACTCACACGCCCAATCCAAAGGCTGTGGTCGCTCCGGATCTCATACCTGCTCCACTCCCCACCCCCAGGCTGGGTTGGCCATAGCTACAGACCCTTTCTGTCTCCCTCAGGACAGACACCAGGACAGGGTACATAGACAAGGCAGGCCTCAACAGGGACAGAAACTCTATGAATGGAGGTGGGAACTGGATAGGGGAGGGCCATGGGCTCTGGGGAACAGACTTCTTTATGCCTTCAAGTACGAGGGTTATCTGCTTTCCAGTTTTCTAGGGCAGTTTACCCACTTGAGCTGGGTGGGTCTCCTCGCAGAAGGAAGGGGCTTCTCACCTGCCTGTGGGCAGTTCCCCATCCTCCTTCCGCCAGTGTAGATGAGGTGGGGGATCCCCCTGCACCTCACATGGGAAGTCCACAGGGGCGTCAGTCAGGACCACCTGATTCACTGGTCTCCGCAGGAATGAGGGACGCTCTGTGGAGTGGGAGTGAGCGCACAGTGGGGAGCTCTGCGCAGCTGTGTACTCCCCAGGCTCCACATTCCCGTAACAGCAAAACTCCTTGTGCCTACCCAGTACTACAAGTTCGGCTGCCCCACTCTCCCGTTCTCCTGCCATGTTGGAGGCCACACACATATAGGTCCCTGCATCACTCTTGTGTGTATGTGACATCATCAGCTTCCCTCCACGGATCTGCAGATTAATAACGGTAACTTTGGTCCTTTTATCGCCATCAAAGCATATTTATTTATTTGACCCTCACAACAAGCCCATGAAGAAGACCAGTGAAGTCAATCTATTTAGATAAGGAATCTTTAAATGATTTGCCCAAGGTGGGGCTCAGGTCTGTCTTTTCTCCCATTGGTCCCTGGGGCATCATGCTCCCCCACATCGTATATCAAGTCCATCCTATCTATCTTCATTTATCCCTCACTCAACAGCTGATCCTCAGCTTCTAGTCAACTAATCCCAAATCTACCTTATTGCCCCAAGACATTATTCCCTGCCCCCCATGACCCTTGCATTCAGGCCTTTCTCCTTTGAGGCATGTCCCTCATGACATCAGGGCCCTGCTCCGCCCCTCCCCCCCTTTGGGTCCCCAGCAGTGTCTCAGCCCTCACCGTAATCCTTCCTTCCTCCTCCTTGACACGGGCACTGCCCTTTTTCCAGGACACCGAAGGCTCTGGGTGGCCTCTAGGGGGTACACATTCCATTACCGCTGGCTCCCCCACTGCCACCACCACGTTCCCAGGAGACTGCCGGAAATCATCTCGGAGCACTGGGGAGAGAGGATGTGACCAGGGGGATGTGGGGTGACATCACTGCCGGAGGACGTAAGGAAAGTGGGAGAAAAGTTGATCACCGCACACCGAAACTCTCCCCCCACCAAGGTGCGAAAATACCGGGCCCAGGTGTGAGCATTAGAGACCAAAGGCTGGGTCCCAAAGGAAGATACTGAACGGGCTGTGACTGGAGCTGGATCTGAGCCCAGCCCCTCCCTCTGTCCCCCAGGCTCTAGAAGCAACTAGCTGATGACTGGGCTCTCACCTGCCACTTCCAGCGAGGCGTTCCTGCTGGCCACCGTCCCCAGGTAGTTGCGCGCCACACAAGTGTAGATCCCTTCATCTGGCCGCGCACGGCGCCCGTGCACGATGCGCGGAAAAAAGAGGGCGCCGCTGGGCAGCAGCAGGCGGTGTGCACGTGGGTCCTCGCGCGCGGTGGCCACTCGCGCCCCATTCTTGTACCACTCGATGTTGGGCCGGGGCCGGCCCTCGGCGCGGCAGGGCAGCGTGGCGGATTCGCCCCGGGACACCAGCAAATCTGGCGGCTGCTCCACGATGCGCGGCATCGCGTCCTCCAGCCCGACCCTCGACCCTGGGGAGTGGGGGTAGGGGCGCAGAGCATTTAGACTGGGAAACTGGGGAGAGGTGGAGACTCCAGAGAGAAAACGACCCCGTCTGCCACGTTTGACCACCCTCTCTCTCTGTAGGGTCGGGTATCTCTTTCTTGGGCTCCAAAGGAGGTGCCTACAGATGGGCAGATAAGCCAAGGAATCAGGACACCTGCCTCCTCTCCTACCAGGTGTGAACGGGGAGTAAAGGGCCACCCGCACCTCTAGTCGTTTCAGCCCCCACCCACACTGGTTCACAGATGTCCTTCCTCCTTGAGCAACCATAGTGGGGCACCAGGGCCAACACTGGGTTTCCTGCCTCAGCACGATCCCGGGCATCGACATGGAGAATGTGGCTGGGCCTCGGGTCCCTCAGGACAGGGAAGGCGTGAGTGATGGCCGGAGCCTGAGAATCCAGGAATGGGCACAGAGCCCTTCTATTGACACCCTAGACAATCACGTTTCCGGATCCTGTGAAATCACGGGAGTTGAACAAACGCAAACGGTGGTGGAAATGTGAGTAACGCTCTTTTCTGCGAGAGCGAACTGTTCTCCAGGTTGATGTAGCCAAAAAAAGGCTAAGAACCATTGAGAAAGGAATTCCTCTCCTTTCCTGATTCTCTCGGATCGGTTCGCCGTGGGTTCTATCCCTGCCCCTCACTCGGCCTACAGACTTCTGCTTGCTTCCTCTTCTGCAGTGGTTTGGGATCCGGAAGCCTGGAGCCCGTTATGTTCAGATACCCCAGCTTCATCGATAGTGGCTTTGTAACCCCTGGCAGCCAGTAGGCGCCGCTGCCGCCTCCCGGAATCTGTGTCCTTCACTAACCAGGGGCTACCCGGTTTCCGTTCTCCACTTCCCCATCCCCCACCCCGCCCCTCCCACCCTGTTCCAGAATCCGCTGGGACCTCTGCTTCCAGCCTTGGTATATGGTTGGCTTTCACTTCCCTCCCCTACTCTTAGAAGTTCTGGCGGAGACAAAGCTGGATGGGTTGTCCATCATGGTGCTGTCCTAGAGAGGGTGTATTTAACCGGTTAGGAACAGAAAAATCGGTTTCCCATCCACTTAGAGAAAAGAGTCCTTTTTTTCAATTTCTCCCCTTCCAGATGGAAATTTCTGATTCTCACCAGACTCTTCTCCGTCCCATGCCAAGCCTAGTTTAGGCAGAGACCATATGAGAGCAGCATTGGAGTGGTTAAGAACTGGGGGTTTGGCAGGGACCAGCTAGGGCTGGAATCTTAGATTTTAATGCTTCCTACTGTAAGAACTTCAGCAAATTACTGAGCTTCTTTGAGTCCCAGCTTAATTATCTGTAATGTGGGGGCATATTGTCATAAGACCATAATATATGCAAAGCACTTGGGGGGAGGCTCAATAAATATGGCTATTCTCTGATGATTTAAGGGTTCTTCCTCCCCGCTCACCTTATCTGAGCTCCTACAGTCTCTACAAGAATCAGATTCTACTAAGTCCCAACATTTCCTCTTTCCCCCTACACATAACCATCGGGTGCTATGGAAATAGGTCTGTTATTGCCAAGCTTTGCACTGCTTTTGTGACCATCTTGAATTTGTTTTCTCTGCAGCAAATGTGACCATCAACTCCTTCCTTACAAACCTCATTGAATTTTCGAGCTTAACTAAAACAATGTATGGTGAAAACACTGTAAGAGCTCTAGATGAGCAGAGGCGTGTCTGAGATGTCTGTGAGAAGGGCTCTGTGCTTAACCTCCTGGGAATCTAAGAGGTCAGGAGATTGGAGAATCCCAACTCATTCCCCATTTTCCTCCCCTCTCCTTCTGTGCAGACCACACCCTGCTGGACGACACTTTCCCCCTAATTCCTGTAGACACAGCTGCAGGCTCCCTTTCCCAGGAATTTCCTTCCTGTCATTCCAGGTCTCAGGAGAGGCTTCGACAGCAGCTAATGAATAGCTAAGGGCCATGCTAATGGGGCTCGGGGCTCCACCCCAGCACCTGGAGTACCCCCATACACACACATACACATTGCCCAGGTTCACTTTCTCGCCGCCTTTGGGTCTCCAGCACCCCAGATTCGAGTGGGTGAAGGCCAAGGGATCCCGGCTGGGGAAGAACCAGAGGGAACCTCGGCCAAGGCGCCCGGGAATACGGGAGTTCCCGAAGCGGCCGGCAGGGGGCGAGCTCGGGGCTCTCCCTGGCTCCCGCGGCGCGGGAGGAGCCCGCGATCTCAGCCATTTATTAATCACCTTAATTAGCGGTGACGACCTAGCCCCGGGCGCTGCCCGCCTGCCGCTGCTCTGCCGGGTGGGCCGGCTGCGAGTCCACCTCTGAGGGGTAACACCTAAGTTTCCCTGAAATGGTTGCCGCCTCTATTGCGCTCTGTAGCAAACACATCCAACATTTTAACTTCCTCGCCCTCGTCCTAAGTGAGTTTTTGGGAAACTTAGGGTCCCGGAGGAAAACCTGCTACCTGGGTGGGTCACTGAGTGGCCCGCTCGGCCCGGGCCCGCCGGCGACCGCGCGTCTCCGCTACCCTCCCCGCCGCGGGTCGCTGCCTCTCCTAGCTCGGACTTGCCCACTCTCCAGCCAGTTCTCCTGGGTGGTGGGGAGTAATGGCCTCAGCGGCCACCTCCTCCCAAACCCTCGACCTCCGCTGGCACCCCTACTCAGGTGCTCAAAGCCCCAAATTATCTCGTTGTCCCCACAGCCTAGGGAGGCTCTGGGAGGCGCCGTTCGGTCCCTACCTGGGGCAGAAGTGCTTGGTCTCCCGCTCCACGCCCCCCTTCCACCTTGCCCCCAACCAGGATCTGACGTCCCCACGGGGCGAGGGCTTACCGTTGAGAGGAGGCTCGCCGGGGGGCGGCAGGCTGTGGTTGAGCGCCGCCACCGAGGAGTTGAAGCCGAAGAGCAGGTCGCTGGAGTTGGACACGTCCCCGGCCAGGGAGTCCGCGAACAAGTTCATCTGCAGCAGCGTTTTGAGCAGGTAGCGCAGCATGGCGCGACCCGACTGGGACCTGGGCGGGGGGCTCGGGGCCCAGCCCCTGGGTCTGAGACCCGCGGGCCGGGAGCCACAAGCCCCTCCACAGCCTCTGCGCGCTGCCCCAGCCACGGTGCCGCTGTCCCGCCGGCGGGCGCCTGGGTGCGGGTCCGGCGCGTGCCTCCGCGTGCCCTCCTCCTTCCTTCGTCCTTCTCTCCACCCCCCAGTGCAGCGGTCCCTCGGGAGCTAGGCGGCGGAAAGCAGGTGCCACGCCGATCACGGCGTAATTAAGGGATTAATCCGCCTCCCTCCACCCTCCCACTCCCGCCTGGACCGCCACTAGCGGGGCCAGAGACCAGAGTCACTTAGCGCTAGTTGGAGTCCCCGCCCCGCGTCGGGTTCTGAACGCCACAGGAGAGTTTCCCTCCTTTCTTAAAGCTCTCGAGATGAGGGAGGAGGCTCCGTCCGACTCCGTCCGCCTTGCCTGACTTTTAGAACAGGAATCCCTCCTCTTTTTTCCTAGCTCTTAGGGAAGCTGAGGCAGCGCGCAAGATCACTCCTCTAGCTCTCAAAATCCTAGTTTCCATTTCCCCCCAAGTCCCGGGATTTATCCGCGAAAGTGCGGGAATTGGGGGTGGCCGAAGAACAATTACACAGTGCGTCCGCCCGATTGCCCTCAGTCACCAAGTTTGCAGCAGAGAGGCCAGGGGATGAGGTCGCGCGTCTTGACCTCAATCTAGTAGTTTCTTCGGGAGACTCAGATCCGGGATAAAACTGCAAGGAGAAAGCCCAGGGCAACCCAGGGCTCGCAAATTGATTTGCATACTTTTGTATTACTCTGCTCTGACGTGATTTATTGAATTGTTTCACCTTTTGGAGGAGACTGAAGGGGAACCACCCCGGGGAGTGCGGGACAAAGACAAAAAGCAATACTTACTGTTTCTGTAAAGGCAAGTGCGAGAGGAGAGATGGGGTGGACGCAGAACTCGTGCAAATCTGTAAAAACCTGATAACATCATGGAGTGGGGACACGACCCCTCCCCCAGTCCCAGCCTGCTTCTGACTTTTCTGGAGTTCTTTTTACTTGAAGATCTCCCATTCGTACACTCACCCACCCCAGGTGTGTTTGTGTCTGTCTGTCTGCCTCTCTCTCTGTCTCTCTCTATCTCTGTCTCTTTGTCTCTCTGTCTCTGTCTGTCTGTCTCTCTCTCTCTCTGTCTCTCTCTCTCTCTCTCTCCTGGGCTGGAGATAACATTGGGGTGTCAGGAAGAGAGAGGCGGGCCCTCCTATCTGGGATAAGGCCCCGCTGATGAGTGAGTGGTGGTGGTTTGTGGCTCAGGGGTCAGGCTCTGTGTGATGAGACCACCTTTGTGGACTGGCTGCTTCTGACCAAGGAGGGGGCAGGGGAACAGGTCGAGATCCAGAGAGGTGGATGCTACACAGTCCTAGATTCAGAGTAAGCAGAATCAAGGGTTAGAGTATCTCAGGTAGACATTGTTCAAGTGAACCCATACTTTGTCAAGGACTGTGAGGCTTGTCCCAAAACTCCTCTCTCAACCCAAAGGCCAGCCCTTGGGGCCTCAAACTAACCAGTGTTTGGGTGTCTTCCTACTCCCTCCCCTCAGCTCTGCTGGTGGCTTCGTAGGGCCTGAAATACAATGTGCTGGGCAGTCGGGTGCCTGACGGCCTCACAGAAGTAGGCCGCGCCCTGGGAGCTGTTCTTTCAGCACCTCCTCTGCTGGTACCGGACTAGGAGTTTGGCGCCCCACAGAGGACTTCAACCACAGCGCACCTTGAGGCTGAGTATTGGGATGGGTGAGAGAGGAGCTAGTGATACTCCTCTTCTTTCTAAAGCACCAGGATACTGAGAGATGAGATTTGACATCTGTCCCTTGCTCCAGGACCGGGTTGCATTCAGCCAAGAGAGAGCATAAGGAATAGATTTGGAATGACCAACCCAGGAGTGGGTTCTAATCCTTTGCCAATAAGAAGACATCACCACTCTAGACCTCAGCCTCCCCATCTGTTAAGAAGAAATCGAACTCCTCGCTGTGCTCAGAAGCATCAGATTCCCAGTTCCCAGGCCCTCTGCTCTGCTAAATGCTGACCTGGGTCACCTGGGTTCCATCACATCAGAGGCTGAACCAGGACAGAAATCCCTGGACTTGCAGGGCAGGGAGAGCTGCAGCAGACAGGAAACCACCCCCTGCCATGTGGCTCCTGCCCCATCCTAATCCCCTGATTTGCTCCAGGTCAGCCTTTCAGCAAACACAGGGCCTGCCAGCGTCTAGGGGCTTGTCACCCTGTTAGCGGATTTGTTCCCTGAGATGGCACAGTTAATTGGCCCTTTATGTGGGGATCAGGGCTTATTTGCTCAGGGTTCCCTGAGCGGAGGCTGCGACTCAGCCCCTGGGCAAGTCTGTGAGTAAATCTGTTTCCCGATCTCCATCATCTGGGTTTGGGGGCTGCACAAATGGTGGGGCCGCGCTCCTTTCCAGGACTCTCCTGACCTGAATCTCCTATCTGTCTTCCAACACCTCACCTCTTCTCCATACTCTTTTTCCTCTCCCCACTTTTCTTCTTGTTTCTCTCTGCTCTTTCCTTCTTTGTACTTCTCTGTATCTCTAGAATGCTCTTCCTCTAAATCAACTCAGACCTAATGCCAAAAAAGGTTAGAGTGCTCAATGGTAGAATAAATACCTCCTACCAATGGCCTAAGTTCCCTCGCCCCCAACCTAGTATTTCTAGAACCTGGGGCCAGCAGAGGGTGGGGGCAGAGTGGGTGAGAGGGCTCAGCAGGGTCACACCCCCCACCCCCAGCTCTTCTGCGGCTCTTTTCTGCCTCCTGTCCCTGAACTTTTTCAAGTCCAGCTTCTCTCTGGGCTGTGCCCATAGGCAGTTCTGGAAGGAGTTTGCCTCTGTCTCCTCACTACCTGCCCCCCACCCCAAATTACCCACACGACTCTGCTCTGCCTCTTGCTTAGAGAGGGTAGGTAACTCACTGTATCTGTCTCCATTCCTACCCCATAGACTATAGATACTTATACTGTATCTAGAACACTCAGTACGTGTACTGTAACTGGATGGCCCTCATCTGGGACTCCATTCCATTGATTTATAAGTTTCCACCTTAGGCTGAAGAAAGAATCGGAGTTGAGTTCTGAGCCTTAAGAGATGGCATTCTTTTCAAGGAAATGGATTCTTTTCAAGGGTTTTATCATTAACAGTCTGCACTTTCGAAAGAATAGAAAAGAAAAAAGGAAGTTTGAAGGGGAATTGACAGAAAGAAGAGAGAGAGCAGCGGGAGGCAGGGAGGCTGGGGAAAGTCGAGTCTGTGGAAATAGAGGGTAAGTTTTTTCTGATCGGGTTAGGGAAGGGGTGTGTGTGTGTGTGTGTGTGTGTGTGTGTGTGTGTGTGTGTGTGTGTGTTTAGGGAGCAACTCATGTGGAGCCATAGAAAAGAACCTAGGGCCAGGGGTTGTTGAGGTAAACATAGAAGAGAAGTATTTCTTTCCCAGGGTGGCATTTTGGGTGGCTTGGTTTGTAGAGAAGCCTGGAAAATGGGAAAGGGAAATGAGTATGTGTAACACAAGAATCCTACACGAGTGGTGTTCCAGGAATCATGAGCCTCTGAAGGAGGTCTCCACCTCTCCCCCAGCACTGGTGTGGTGGTGGTAGTGGTGGTGGTGGTGTGTGTGTGTCTGTAGAGAGTAATACCCAAGGGGCCAACTTTCTTGGCCTAGTGCCAGCACACTAGCCAGAGAATGTAGCTGGGAATTTTCAGTGGCCAAGCTTGGGACTATATGGGAGGCTTCTTGGTGGTCCAATGCCTGCATGCCAGCTGGTAGTGGGTGAAGCTGCTGGCAAGTAATTGCCTGAGAGGTCAGTCTGAGGACAACCCCCACGCCCCACCCCAATCTCGTACTGGTTACTACTACTGCCTCTCCCCAATGCACACACACATGCACACACATGCACACACACACACTGCAGTCCATTTACATCCCCCTAGAGCCTGCAGCCTCCCATCACTCTCGCTGCTTGGACCCCTTCCCAGGGCGCTGACACACACTGAGCATATGTGTGTGTGGTGGTGGTGGGAGTGGGAGAGAGACAAGGAACTAACATCTGGCCCCCATCCCCACTAGGCTTTGCCTGGGACTGGCTCAGCAGGGTTGCTGGCTTCAGAGTGATGATGCCAGGGGGCAGTGACCCAGCCAGCAGGGGCCAGAGGGCCAAACAGGAGGGGGAATCAGAGAGCAAAGAGTAGGCACCGGCTGGAAAGCAGGCAGCAGGAGCCTGCCCCCAGCAGGAGCCAGAATTTGTTGGCTCAACCCCTGTAGCTGCTGAGATAATAAGCCAGGGCCCCCTGCCCAGGAGTACCCCTTTCCCCACATGGTTCCAGTAGAAGAGCCGGTGGGGAGACCCTTTACAACACACTCTACCAAGTCTGGAAATCTAGAGGCAACTGGGCAGAAGTGTCCACATCCTAGTGCAAATGGGAGAGCAGCTGGGAGAACAAGAGCATTCTTGGTTCCTTATATATAAAACTCGGTACGGAGCAAGCACTCCATAAATATTGGTTTACTGAATACAACTGATTAACTAGTTAGTCCTCACAACTGCCTGCTCAGAGTCCACTAGCCTTCACTGCTTCTCTTCACCCACATCTCTCTGAGCATGCCACTCCAGTCAGTTTCTGAGAAGTGTTCCATCAGCTCTGCACCTCCCGCCCATCTCCGTTGCCACTGCCTTAGTCTAGGTTCTCACCTTTCACTCTATTGCAAACTCACTGTATTCCGTCTCTCGCTGAGAATCCACCCTCTGCACTGCTGCTTGGGGGAGTTGCCATGTATTTGTTCAACCCCATTTAGTAAGCACCTACTAAGTGCCAGACACTGAGCTACATGCTTGTCTCAAATGTTCAAATCTAATAATGACACTAGCCTACCTAAAAATATAATGGCTCCTCAACTCCTGCAGGATAGACCCTACACGCGTAGCATTCAAGAATCACCA